TATTCACCCATGAAAGCTTATGCTCCAATACATCTGTTAGTCTATAAGGTGCCACAGACTCTTGGTGGCAACTTGCCTAGTGTAGCAAACATGTACAGCTCCCATTGACATGAGAGAACCGTTTCTCATCTGATACTCCACCACAGCCTATCCCCACCACACAGATTTTAGTTAAAAACAGTTTGTTGCCCAGTCCATACAAGCAGCCTGTATGATGAGATGCAAATAGACTGACTCAATCATGGAGGTCTGTAATTAGCTCTATCTGATTTCAGGCATCTGGCTTGGATTTTCCTGTTTCATGATTGGTTGTCTCTGGGTTGTCCTGACACTCTGCTTCATTCCAGGACTGGGGTGACTTGGATGTACAGAGTGCTGTTATTAGCAGTGGTAAGTCATCAGTCTGCTAGTTTTGCTTTGGTTTTAACTTCGCTATTGACATAATGTAATAAATAATTCGGTTCCCTGCTACAGTCTGGTGTCCAGGTGCTGGCATCTAAGGGTCTCATGCATTATGGTGGAAATCATACTAAAGTTCTTAATGTAGAATTCCTGTGAGGTTTCCTGGCTTGTCCTTTTCCCTTTTCTGCCACAAGATTTCAGGTACTGTTAGCCTGCAGGGCTCACTTAAGGATAATCCAAAGTAGTGCTTCACCAGAGACTTAATGCTTTGTTTTGAGACCTGTGGATAAACAGCCACAGTGGATTTTGAAGACTTGTGTTCTAGGGAATCGTGGAATGTTGTAGGCTAATACACATAGCAGCTGTCTCCTACAGGGTTTATAATGATGTTGACAAATGTCTGACCTGAAATCAGTATGTGGACTACTTCATTACTGAAAGACCCCGTAAATGAAGTAATACAGAAATGAAGACACACTGTTTTACTTTATGCAGAATTGCTTCCTTTTTACTCCTGTCAAAAAGAAACTAATGCTCTCACTTCTGCTTGTTAGGTCCTGGCCCTGTCTTGAATAAATTTGGGTGAGTATGTATTTTTGTTTAGACCAATAAGTTGTTAACTTGTAGCTAGTAGGAGCATTGTTGTAACCAGTGATGAAATTAGATTCTGCCAAATGAATGTCCGTGATATTACTCCTTTCCGTTCCATTTACTCTGAGGTTACATTCTTGCTCTGTCAGAGTTCGAAATGGGAAAGGCAGTGTGTCCTCTAAACAATGACTGGCCCAGAAGCTTGGAGTGGAAGGGATTTTAAAAATGTACTGAATACATGGAGTGTATTGTGGCTTCTCAACTGTTAGAATACTTTAACTTGTCCCTTTTGCTCTAAAGGTTACCAGTTTAAATGACACTTATGTCTGGATGAACACCTCTCAGATGATGGGGTCTGAGACCTCTACTGCTTAGGATGGGCCAAGGAATGATCTGTTCACCCCCTTAAATGATTAAATTAACAAAGCTTTTTAAAAGCTGGTTCATACTTCACTTGATCACTTCTGCTAGTCTTCCACACTGTAGATCGAGGAAATCTAGTCGAGCGGGTTATAGTCTAGCTAGTTTGGGTTACTAATTCATGTTATAGTACACTTTAAAACAACTTTCTTTTCCCCCATAAGCATTAATATTAGAAGATGATGGATGATCAGGACAGCATTTCAAGTGAGAGGTTTGTATCTTATTCTGTTCCTTTTGGGTTATATGTGGCAAAACCAGCTGGGTTTTAATCCTGTAAAAGTAACTGCATTGTGTGATGGGACCAACCTTTCGTTGTTGTGCTTGTATGAAGCTCAGTGGCTTCACTTAAATACTATAGTTTTAAACTCTGATCCTAGATACAGATGTGTACTACTGTCAAACACTAACACTTTCAAGAATGCGGAGATGTGTGGTAGGTGCGCCTCTAAACAATTAAGGAGCAAGCCCTTGTTCCAGTTGTAAGATACTGGGGTTTCAAAAAAAACCTCAGTTTTAGCCCAGCACTGTTCTCACTATAGTCAGTGGGGGTAAACTCCCATTAACTTAAATGAGAGCAGAGGGGGGGCCAACACAGAGCACTCACGAAAAATGTTAATAGGCTTGTAAGGTGGGACTTACCCATCTTGAGATGCTCCTAAATTTTCTTCTGTTTTGAATATGCCTCCTGCACCCACTTTAACACTATGATACCACAGAAGCAACATGGGAGTAACTTACAAAAAGCTTAAATTCCTACTATAGCACTTTGGGTCACTCTGCGAAATGGTGATGGCAATTCTTGCAGCAGAGTATTTCATGGGATGAAATGATTAAAACTGCATAGTACACATCTGTGCAGAACCTTGGTCTCCTGGGCCCTAGCCACTGGACCACAGTGATGACTCGTTGTCTGCAAGAGTCATATATAGGTGCAAATTCGCCAACATTGATATTGGTGTCTGATTAGTACGAGACTATTCCTCCAGTACCTGCAAAATGTAAATGTTCAGAGAGGATTCTAGCTGTGAAACCAGACTGAGTCTATTCACTGCACTTGGAATCCACATTAAAATCTACTAACTGCATATCTAGGATGCCTCCCTTGCAGCTGTATGATAGAGGTTACCTTCCCCCGTGCTTTCCTTTACAACTGAACAAACAGTGTCACTTGGCTTGTGGCTAGAATTGAAGCCTGTGATGACTTGGATTATAAGAGTAGTGGACAGAACAGGTTTCTGAAAACTTCACTCTGAGGCTTTGAAACTAGTAGTATGTCTGCAGGCAGAGCAAAGAATGACATGTAACATTTGAATTTTTTTTTTCCCCTCCAGGGCTGGAGCGCACTCCTGGAAAAAGGATCACTTTGCTGAGGTAACTCTTCACTTCAACTTGGAGTAGAGTCTTTGCTCTGGTTCCCTGGCTGACAGTGGAAGCACACACTATGCTAGATATGTGCCTTGAATAAAGTGTTTGCAGCCATTATGAGCTGCTCTGCTTTTTAGAGTTAGCTCTGGACAGTTGCCAGAAGCTGGGAATTGGTGACTGCAGATGGATCACTTGATTATCTGTTCTGTTCATTCCCTCTGAAGCACCTGCCATTGGGCACTGTCGGAAAACAGGATATTGGGCTAGATCACTAGTTCTCTAACTTTTTGAATTGGTGACCCCTTTCACACACAAGCCTGAGTGCAACCCCCCCCCCATAAGTTAAAAACACATGTTCAAATATTTAACACTATTATAAATGCTGGAGGCAAAGCAGGGTTTGGGGGTGGAGGCTGACAGCTCACAACCTCTCATGTAACAACCTCATGACCTCACCCCCAGTTTGAGAACTCTGGGGCTAGATGCACCTTTGGTCTGACCCAGTATGGCTGTTATGTAAATTCTAAAGCCACACAGCTCTCTGCACAGACCCAAAGCCATAGTGGACTGAAGATGTTTCTAAGAATGTAGTGCTGAGGCTTTGCTGCTTATAGATGTCTGTAATATAAGTAACAGAGTCCTGTGGCACCTTTAAGACTAACCGATGTATTGGAGCATAAGCTTTCGTGGGTGAAGGCCAAGTTGGATGCACGAAGTGGGCCTTCACCCACGAAAGTTTATGCTCCAATACATCGGTTAGTCTTAAAGGTGCCACAGGACTCTCTGTTGCTTTTTACAGCTCCAGACTAACACGGCTACCCCTCTGATACTTGTAATATAAGTGAGGTCATTTTTAGTCATGAGACTAGAAGAATTACCAGACATGACTTGATATGGTAAGTTGGCTGTTGCATTTATCTGACATGTAATTATGAAAATGATATTCTAAGAGATTCCTCTTCCGTGTCAGTTTTATGAAACATCCACTCTTACAATTGACCAACCTCACTGCTAGTTCACCACCAATTCTAAAAAGCAGAGACATTCCCAGAAAAAGTCACACCCAACCCAACAGCATTCTCCATCTCCTCTATATGGTTTGACCTAATATTTTGTTTTTATATGCTAGTGTCTCAGTGGCAGGTTGGAATTAGGCTTGTGTGCTGCAGTATGACTGTCACTGTCTATACTGAGGGTGAGATAGTACTGTTTAGCTCCAGCAGCATTGAATAAAACTGTTCCACTGCTGACTATAAAGTATATTGGTGAAATGCTGACTTCCTGTCTGTGTATGTACTGTTAATGATGATTTTGTTGTAAACAATGGGAATCTCTCTGAATGAGAATGAGGAGGACTCTTATGCTGATACAGTACAGAACTTCAAGCTGTCTCTACTAAGAATCAAATTCTACCAACCAGAACCTGTTTGTAAAAATTGAATTATTATGTTACAGAGTAAAGTTGGTCAAACATTCAGTGAAGCAATCAGCCCTCTGCCTGCCTGAGAGGTAAGGATAAAGCAAAGTACTGGGAGCTTATTTTAAAGATCAATGTGATGCTTGAGGCTTAGATTTTTGGAATCTCTTCTTGGGGGTCCATTGGACTGTCAGTGCAGTTTAGTGAGGACAGTGACTGTTTTGCGTATATTTGGCCATATCTGCCAGCTCCCATGACACTCTTCCTTGTGTTAGTCCTGCAGTTCCTGTTCAGTAATGGGGATGTCAGGAGAATTCTTCTGACTCATACCAGCAGAAATGTTCAATTAATTCTTTATGCAGAATCATTCTTAGAAAACAGCTCGACTTCCATGGCTGACGATTAGAAGGACAGTGTCTGTCTTGCTTCCATTAAAGCTAATGGGAGCAGGATTGGGCCCCTTCTACTGGTGACTGTAATATAGTCTGATCACTGCAGTCAAACAAAGCTAGAAGCCCATTTTAGTCACATTCTACCTTAGGGTAACTCTGAATCAAAGAGCTGCTTTAAAGCCAGCACATCTTAGTCTGTCACTAACTTTTCATGCTCCCACTTTGTAGGAGAGGGATGACAGCCTGAAACTAAACACCCCAGTGAATGAAAGTGCTATTAAGCCGATACAATGATGATAACATAGTTCAGCAGAATACACAATGACGAACACAGCTTTGTCTTTCGCTCCTATCTGATGTATCTGGCTACAGCTGAATCCTGACATTAAAGAGCTCTTGTGGTCTTAAAAGTGACTACATGAAAATAGCACCTTTGTATTCCACATTACCTGCTCCTTGGGGGCAATTAGTATGTCCACTTGAAGCCTAACTTGCCCATGGGTTGTTGAGGGCAGAATTCTACAACCAGGGGCAGTGGCTGGGCCTGCAGAACCTCTATGGGGTGTGTGTAAGGAGAACCTTTTTATAAAGGACATACCCTGGTGTTGAGCCTTGTAGGTCCAGTCAAACACTGACATGATATAAAAATACGTGGCTTTGCTCAGGAAGGTTCCTTTGCAAAACTAAGATCCAGTTGTACAGATCTGCTAGCAGTTAAGCTCACGAGACTGGTGCACTTGCACTTTTACAGTGCAGGTTCCAAAATGCAGATGGGAAAGGGCACTTGTAACTACTGATGAAATTAGATTCTGCCAAATGAGTTCCAGTGCTGTAAACCATTTCCACTCTTGCTGAGGTGCTACTGATGGGAGAACTATTAATTAACGTCCATTTCCCTTCTCTTTAGGGAGCAAAATTGGTTTGAATGGACAGTTGAGGAACCAGAAAGGTGGGTATCACTTTACTCGCATTGCTTCAACACTTAACAGTGACATGCTGCTTTGATCCCTTTTCTGGAATGGAGAGATGATGATTACAGTCTTAGCTTGAACTCTCTCTCTGATGAGTGATGGAAAATCTAAGGTCTGATCTATTCCTATCAATAAACATCTTGTGCTTTAGAGTTCAATGCTTCACCCTATAACAGTTTTTGTCTCTCTCCTTGCAGTGTGAAGATGTCAGATTGTGTATCTAGCGACTCCTAAGTTTTTCCCACAGAAGACAGTGCCCTTGCTTCTGAGGTGTTTGGGCATAGCCATGGAGGGGCCAGAGTCAATCCTGCAGCAGTGGGTGTGTCAAGCTGGAGGGAAGCAGTCTCTCTGCCACCCCATTGCCACAATAAGGTGACATGACTTCTGGATGAAGAGTCCTACAAATTTGTGCAGAAAAGATTAAGTTCAGAATGTCTTGTAGAAGCATGTGACAAGTGGGGCAACACTGATACACACTTTGGTCTCTTCTTAAATATCCAATTAAGAAACTAGACTTGCTCTGAACTTAAACTTTTGCCATGTGTGTCTTTTAACCAGCACTAAGTAGACTTTAGAAGTAAAATAACAGCTGTCTAACAAATTGAAATGTGCTAAAATAAACTCATCAAAAATGACTAGTCTGGAGTAGTTGTGTATTATGTATGAGTTCAAAGTCTCAGGGTATGTCTATACTATGAAATCAGGTTGATTTTTATAGAAGTCAATTTTTAGAAATCAGTTTTATACAGGCAATTATATATGTCCACACCAAGTGCATTAAGTTGGTGGAGTGCATCCTCAGTACTGTGGCTAGCATTGATTTATGGAGCAGTGCACTGTGGGTAGCTATCCCACAGTTCCTGCAGTCTCTGCTGCCCATTGGAATTCTGGGTTAAGCTCCCAATGCCTAATGGGGCAAAAACATTGCTGTGCATGGTTTTGGGTACATGTCATCTGTCAACCCACCCTCTGTGAAAGCACTGGCAGACCATCATTTTGCGCCTGACACCAGGGAGGCTTTGAAAACCAGTTTCATGACTGTCCAGGCTTTGGTGTGACAGTTTTCTCCTTGATGCAAACCCACCCCCTTTGTTGATTTTAATTCCCTGTAAGCCAACCACCCTCCCCCCAGCCCCCTTTGAAATAAAGTAACTATTGGTTTGAAACCATGCATTCTTTATTAATTAAAAAAAAAAAACCAGGCAAGGTAGCCTGGGGAGGAGGGAAGGACAAGGCCACATTGTTTGTTGTAACCACACTAAAAATCAAACTGTTTGAATGCAGCTTTCTGTTGCTTGGCCCATCCTCTGCAGTGGAGTGACTGGGTGCCTGGAGCCTCCCCCACTGAATTCTTGGGCATCTGGGTGAGGAGGCTATGGAACACGGGGAGGAGGGTAGGTGGTTATGCAGTGGATGCAGCAGGGGCCTGTGCTCTTGTTGGCTTTACTTCAGCACCAACAGATGCTTTGCTCCTCTATTAGTCTCAGCATTGTGTCCTCCCTCCACTCTTCCTGGTCTCTGCCACTGAATGCCTACATGCATTAAGCTGTGCCTGATCTGTCTGGGAGGACTGCATGAGCTTGGAAAACATGTCATAGTGTGTGGGTTTTTTGCCTTCTAATCTGTGATAACCTTAGGGACAGAGATGATAGGGGGAGTGTAGAAATATTCTGTGCTCTACAATTCTGGGGGGACTGCATGGTCACCTGTGCTGCTGAGTTTGCCATGCTGGCCAAACAGTAAATGAAATTACCTATACAATTTATATGCATCTGAAGAAGTGGGTTGTAGCCCATGAAAGCTTATGCTCTAATAAATTTGTTAGTCTCTAAGGGCTGGTCCACACTACCTGCCTAATTTGGTGGGTAGAGATCAATCTTCTGGGATCGATTTATCACGTCTCATCTGGATGCGATAGATCAATCCCAGAAGCGCTCCCCCGTCGACTGCGGAACTCCTGCTCGCCGAGAGGAGGAAGCGCTGTTGACGGGGGAGCCTGCCTGCACCGCGTGGACCCAAATCAAGTACTTTTAGTTTGATATAGAAAATGTCGACTTCAGCTACGCTATTCTCGTTTCCTATATCGATCCCCTGCCCCAGTGTGGACCAGCCCTAAGGTGCCACAACTACTCCTGTTCTTTTTACGGATACAGACTAACACAGCTGCTACTCTGAAACCTATACAATTTAGTACAGCACTTTGAATACTGAAGGGGAAAAAACCTGAGAAGGAAATAGGCTTAAGCTTTATGCTGCTTTAAACACTTAGATCCTGCACTAAAGTTTCTCAGACTCAAGCAATAGTCCTAACTCCACTGAGTAGAAATACCCTTCTCATCTAACTGGACTCTGAATAGCTGAACATGAGAATTTACTGCCTGGCCTAATGCTATCAAAGGAGTGAGCTGGTGGCTTTGTGCTGAACTGTGCTTTTTCATTTGAGTGTAGCCTAGCTGTGGCTAAAGAACTTCAGGTGCATGCTTTTTGTGGAGGGGGTAAAGTACAGATATGCTTGGTTGGATCACAGAAACCCCCTTGGGAGCTGCCACCCGATGTGCCAAGACTACCCCTGCTTCTGTTTTCCCTGCCAGCTTAGGGCTCCAGCACCCTGTCTTGCTGAGCCAGCCACTCCTGTCTGGCTCCAACACAGACTCAGGATCTGAATCACTTGTCCCAAAACTGCAAGTTTACCCAAAAACAGCTCACAGGAGTGTGCTTGTCTTTAGCACTCAGATGCTCAACTCCCAATGGGGTCTAAACCCAGATAAATCCGTTTTACCCTGCATAAAGCTTATGCAGGGCAAACTCATAAATTGTTCGCCCTCTATAACACTGATAGAGAGATATGCACAGCTGTTTGCTCCCCCAGGTATTAATACATACTCTGAGTAAATTACTAAATAAAAAGTGATTTGTTACATTCCACATTGAGCTTCCAGCTGTGTGCTGCAATTGTTAATGTATATGCTGCTGGTATCCTCTCAGTAGCACTGCTATTACAGGGATAGAGGGGCATAGCCATGAACCTGAAGTGATTTTAGAGGCATTGCTATTTCTATTCACATCCCACGCTTAGTGAGGAAAAGCAGTGGATCTGAATTAAGTTAAGATTGCCTGTGGCCTAAAGCAAAACTTGAAGTGATTATACTTAATGTAGGCAAATTGACTTGGTTGAAGCGCTCCTTGGCATAGACCTCTGTACAATACCTAGCACAAGAGCCCTGATCTGGGGATTCCAGCTGCTACTATGATCAAGTCTCTAGCCAAGGCCCCCTGGCTGCTGCAAATTGACAGTCCTCAAGGGTGAAGCTCTACAACAGGCCTGCACAACTCAAAGTGGCAAGGGCCATATTACTCCAAAGAAAACAGCTGAGGGCCAAACCCTCCCCCAGCACCACCCACCCCATAGAAACAACCCCCCCAGTGCTGCCCAGTCTCCCAAAACACCCCCCCCACAGAAACAAACCCTCCTTCCCTCATGCCACCCCCCCAAAACAGCAGTATTGAACCTGGGTAATATGTTATAGTGGGCCCCTAAGGTAGTATAATTAAGGTAAAAGAAAACTCTTTTTGCTAGAAGTAGAATAAGCTCTTCCCCCCAACTTTGTAATCAATTGCCCTGTTCAGTGAATGAGGAAGGCAGGCACCTCCAGACAGCTGCAACCCTGGGAGAGGGGATGGGAGCCAGAACAGGTCAGCCACTGACTCACCACTCGCCTCCTCAGCTCACCTGCCACTGCCCACCTACTCACCCCGAGCCACTACCCACCTGCTCGCCTCCTCAGACCCCCCCCACCAGCTCACCTGCCTCCTCGCCACTGCCCACCCCCCTACTCACCCCCTGCCACTGCCCACCCGCTCACCTCCTCAGCCCCCCTCCCTCACCCGCTGCTTGCCTACTCACCCCACACGGGCCACACAGGGAGCCCACACAGGCTGTATGTTATGCAGGCCTGCTCTACAACAAGCCCTGGAAGAGATGCAGCATATCTTCAATAGAGCTTTGCCAGGCATAGGTGCTACCACAGCCCCTGACTTGAAGTGGTTTCCATCACATAGGGGGTTTACTGTTTGGTTCACTGTCTCTCACCCCCAGAAAAAGTGTTCTAGCACCCCTGTCCTCTGGTGGTTTCTGACAGCACCTGTTTACATATAAAACAGTCCAGATCAGAAGGCATTTAATTATTTTTTGCTTCTAAATATCATTGCACAGGTTAAGTCACTCTACAAAAGCCATCCTTACTATTAAAGTACAGCATTTTATAAAATAGTATGGTGGGGGTGGACCTTTGAATGTTATAAAGAGAAAAGGTCATTAAGAGGCTAGTGTGTAAATGAAAGATTTGGCACCTGTAAAATCGCAGTAGTTTCTCATCTGGAGTGATTAATACCATACTTTTCAAGTGTAAATGAAAAACACCTGTTTTATTAAAAATCAAATATGGTTAATTGTTTTCAGGCTGAAAGATAAGAAGTGGCACAAGCTGGTACATTTAATGCTAGCACCAGTAGCTTCCATCCACCCATCTCTGCATCCACCTGCCTGAGTCACTGCTCTGAAAATAACAGGGTTTAACAACTGCTGTCAGACAGCTCCAAACATTGGTGTCCCACTGCTGAGGACAGGATAAAACAAGCCTTAGTAGAAACAGGCATCCATAACAGTGACTACACTTGGATGAAAGTGGCATCACATCTTATTGACAAGACACTAGTCTTTGTCCACCACCATAGCCTTGCCTTCCCACACCATAGCAGTTGGAGCAGCAGCCTTTAGGGGATTTTTCTACCTTTTTTTCAGAAGCTCCTAAATCACTTAGTCACAAATTGTACACTTTCACATCACAGCTATTCTCTATGTTCAATGGATTTGGAGACACACCTGCTACCCCTGAGAGAGCAGCAGGTCTGAACAGACTCTAAAATTGATCAAAACAGAGACAGCCTTCTGTATTTTGTACTTGAAGATATGCTAAGGAGCACAGAAATTTGAGACATGGGTTTTTGAAGCCAGTGTCTGATCTATAGTCCTAGATAAAATGGAATGGGGAGGTCTCTGCACACTGGCTAGCACCTACACAAGTCTGTATGAGTAAAGTTTCTCTTCAGTACATACAAAGTCATGGAAGCAAAAGGCACAAGCAAGGTCTGTCTTCATCCAACACTCCCGTATTATTTTTTGAAATACCACACTTCATTGTGCCTATTGAAGAGCTTGAAGGGACTGTCATAGCCAGCAGTATAATAGAAGTCTTCATGGAATGACTGACCCACATTCTTTAGGATTCTGGCCAGTGCCTGGGCTTCCTCAGCATACTTCTCTGGAGAGGCAAACCCACCAAAGGACCTGGGGGAAGACAATGGAGACAGGGGCTCTGGTTTGTAACACTGGCTTTGTTGGAGTTTTAACAACACAAACCTTGCAGTTAGAGATGAGCCCAAACCAACCTTCCCAATCCAAATACCCCAAGCTTTAGAGGGGGAGGATCCAAATTCTGAAATGTTCAGCTGGCTCCTAGTAGCCCAAACCAGAACTCCAGAGCCACACGGCGGGCAGATCTGAAACCAGACCTGAAGCTGAATTTCATGGAGGGGCTTCATCTTTAAAATAGGCTGAATCAGCAGCCTGGGTCCAGACACTCCCAAACTATGAGGTGTTTGAGATCTGGCTTCATGTTCTGTTGTTAAGGCCCATGTGTAACTACTGTCAGGGATTCATCCAGCATGTGATGGTGTGATCAGGCACATCTGTGTGTATATATAATGGCCCCAGCTGACACTTTGCAGAGAGTTGCCTGGACACACAATGCTAGCTGTTTATTGGACCAACTTCTGTTGGTGAAAGAGACAAGCTTTTGAAATTCACAAATGAAGGGAGTTAGGAACGCGGTGCTCTCTGGTGGGTTTCTCTTTCCCAGAGATGGTATTGAACAGCACAGGGTGAAACTGCAGACATCAGCCCCCTCTTCATGCTTTAATCCATCTCCTCTCCTAAAGACGAGACAGTGGGGTGCTACCTGACAAAGATGGCCTTTCCCTTCCGCTCCTCAATGAAGACATTTGGGTCTGTGGGCTGTGGCGGGGAGTCTTGATGCTCGAATGGCACAAAGAATGAGACCTTGAAGTCTGTGCAACCAGATTTCACCAGGCACGTCACTGGCACAGTCATCTCAATCTTCATCTCTGGAAGAATGAGAATAAGAAAGGTCCTGTCTCATACCAGCCACAAGCAGAGGTGGAGGGTGAATACTACGGTGGGACCTGCAGCCACCAGGGGCAATGTCAAAGAGGGGCTTCAATACTCGGGGCAGAGGCAGCAGTGTTCCTGCAGCACCACCTCCCCAGTGCAGCAGGGACTATTCCTGCCACAAGCCCTTTCACCAGGTTTGACTCAAGGATTCATACTGCTGCTCATCCCCATGGTATGTGAGTACCCATCATGATGCTCTCACGCATCAGTGCTTCTCCTTACTGCCTGTGAATGCTTCCCTGGTAAGCATCTCCATTTCCTCCATGCAGCCCCTGATCCTCCCCACCTCCCATCCCACACACCCCTGGAGGGACAGAGACTCCCTGTCTCTTCTCCCCCATTCTGAAGTTCCTATTCCTCCCCCCACCAGGCATAGGGCAGCTCACCCTGGATGAGGGGCAACAGCCCCAAAGGACACCCCTTTGCAGACAAGAAAAATACTGATGCATTAACTCACCAAGACCAGGAAAGCATCTCTGACATTTCTAGTGTACTTCCCATCCCCCAGAGCTGCCCAAACCTTTGCTGTTCCCAGCTCAGTCTCCCTTGTGCCCTGCCCACAATTAGAGGGCTGGATCCAGGGGTTTCCCAATGACTGTTCCAAATCTGGGTGACTTCATACCTTTCTCATTCTTCCCCTGAATGTAGTAGAAGAGCTTCCAGAAGCCCTGGTGCAATGCCTCCTTTTGCGTCTCTCCCTGAATTACTGTGCTAGCCCATTTGGCCGTCTCATAGTGACGCAGCTCGTAATCTTGCACCTGAAACAGATATAAGGTTACAAGGCTTAGTGAATGTGTGGCTTTTATTTCCAGGTCAGTGAAATGTCCCTATCAGCCCCCACCTTCCTGCCAAATCACCTCCCTGGGAGTGTGCCCCTCGCAGGCCCATCTCAGCAGCCACACACACACACACCCTTTTCCCCAACAAGTCTCATGCCCCTAACAAGGCACCCCCAGTTGCAAAACCATCCCAGCCCTCCCACCCCCCATGGTATTTGCTCCAGCCCAATCCCCCCTCCCCACCCAAGCACTCTCTTGCCTATGTGAGCTGTGTTTACACTGGAGGATTTGCCAGGACATCTGCACCCATTAACCCTTTCTAGTATAGGCAAGGCCAAAGACATTTGGCCACTGTCCTATAGTTCAGGGCAGCTTTCTTCTTGCATGGCTTCTTCGCTGACAGCACTAATTGGTTTATATCTGCAAGGATCTACCCATCATGAACAATACCCCTCAGCTTCTGATATAGAGATCTCCCCAGCAACTAGCATTTACCGCGATCTCTGCTGAGCTCCACCTGGGTGACTGCAGCTCCAGCGACAAAAATGTCTGTTTGAAGGACTTGATCATCTCTCTTGAGCTGAAAGGCAGAAAACAGTTCATTGGCACTGAGTATCCCACAGTGCAAGGGATCAAGATTTCTTGCCTAAACTCAGGCTTCTAGAGTTGGTTTTCTCAGGCCTGCACAAAATCTCTAACCTTTTAGTAATGCCACTAGAATGAGCACTTCCACCAAGAGTGGAGGAGAGACAGAGAGATCATAGAATCATAGAAGATTAGAGTTGGAAGAGACCTCAGGAGGTCATCTAGTCCAATCCCCTGCTCAAAGCAGGACCAACACCAACTAAATCATCCCAGCCAGGGCTTTGTCAAGCCGGGCCTTAAAAACCTTTAAGGATGGAGATTCCACCACCTCCTTAGGTAACCCATTCCAGTGCTTCACCACCCTCCTAGTGAAGTAGTTTTTCCTAATATCCAGTCTAGACCTCCCCCACTGCAACTTGAGACCATTGCTCCTTGTTCTGTCATCTGCCACCACTGAGAACAGCCGAGCTCCATCCTCTTTGGAACCCCCCTTTAGGTAGTTGAAGGCTGCTATCAAATCCCCCCTCACTCTTCTTTTCTGCAGACTAAATAAGCCCAGTTCCCTCAGCCTCTCCTCATAAGTCATGTGCCCCAGCCCCCTGATCATTTTCGTTGCCCTCCGTTGGACTCTCTCCAATTTGTCCACATCCTTTCTGTAGTGGGGAGGCCCAAAACTGGATGCAATATTCCAGATGTGGCCTCACCAGTGCCGAATAATCACTCCCCTTGATCTGCTGGCAATGCTCCTACTAATGAAGCCCAATATGCCGTTAGCCTTCTTGGCAACAAGGGCACACTGTTGACTCATATCCAGCTTCTTGTCCACTGTAATCCCCAAGTCCTTTTCTGCAGAACTGCCGCTTAGCCAGTCAGTCCCCAGCCTGTAGCAGTGAATGGGATTCTTCTGTCCTAAGTGCAGGACTCTGCACTTGTCTTTGTTGAACCTCATCAGATTTCTTTTAGCCCAATCCTCCAATTTGTCTAGGTCACTCTGGACCCTATCCCTACCCTCCAGCATATCTACCTCTCCCCCCAGCTTAGTGTCATCTCTGAATTTGCTGAGGGTGCAATCCATCCCATCATCCAGATCATTAATGAAGATGTTGAACAAAACCAGCCACGGGACCAACCCCTGGGGCACTCCACTTGATACCGGCTGCCAACTAGACATTGAGCAGTTGATCACTACCTGTTGAGCCCGACAATCGAGCCCGCTTTCTATCCACCTTATAGTCCATTCATCCGATCCATACTACTTTAACTTGCTGGGAAGAATACTGTGGAAGACTGTATCAAAAGCTTTGCTAAAGTCAAGGAATATCATGTCCACTGCGTTCCCCATATCCACAAAGCCAGTTATCTCATCATAGAAGGCAATCAGGTTGGTCAGGCATGACTTGCCCTTGGTGAATCCATTTTGACTGTTCCCGATCACCTTCCTCTCCTCCAGGTGCTTCAAAATAGATTCCTTGAGGACCTGTTCTATGATTTTTCCAAGGACTGAGGTGAGGCTGACCGGTCTGTAGTTCCCTGGATTCTCCTTCTTCCCTTTTTTAAAGATGGGCACTATATTTGCCTTTTTCCAATCGTCTGGGACCTCCCCCAGTTGCCATGAGTTTTCAAAAATAATGGCCAATGGCTCTGCAATCACATCAGCCAACTCCCTCAGCACCCTCAGATGCATTGCATCCGGCCCCATGGACTTGTGCATGTCCAGCTTTTCTAAATAGTCCTTAACCTGTTCTTTCACCACTGAGGACTGCTCATCTCCTCCCCATACTGTGCTGCCCAGTGCAGCAGTCTGGGAGCTGACCTCGTCTGTGAAGACCAAGGCAAAAAAACAACAACACAACAGAGTACTTCAGCTTTTTCCACATCATCTGTCACTAGGTTGCCTCCCCCATTCAGTAAGGGTCCCACACTTTCCCTGATCACCTTCTTGTTGCTAACATACCAGTAGAAACCCTTCTGGTTACCCTTCACATCCCTTGCTAGCTGCAACTCCAATTGTGCTTTGGCCTTCCTGATTACACCCGAGCATGCTCGAACAATATTTTTAATACTGCTCCCTAGTCATCTGTCCAAGTTTCCACTTCTTGTAAGCTTCTTGTGTTTAAGCTCACCAAAGATTTCTGTTAAGCCAAGCTGGTTGCCTGCCGTATTTGCTATTCTTTCTGCACATCAGGATGGTTTGTTCCCGAGTCCTCAATAAGGTTTCTTTAAAATACAACCAGCTCTCCTGGACTCCTTTCCCCCTCATATTAGCCTCCCAGTTCCCTGAGGGAGTCAAAGTCTGCTTTTCTGAAGTCCAGCGTCCGTATTCTGCTGCTCTCCTTTCTTCCTTTTGTCAGGATCCTCAACTTGACCAGCTAATGATCACTGCTGCCCAGGTTGCTACCCACTTCTACTTCCCCTACCAATTCTTGCCTATTTGTGAGCAGCAGGTCAAGAGGAGCACAGCCCCTAGTTGGTTCCTCCAGCACTTGCACCAGGAAGTTGTTCCCAACACACTCCAAAAACTTCCTGAATTGTCTGTGCACTGCTGTCTTGGTCTCCCAGATGACATCAGGGTGATTGAAGTCCCCCATGAAAACCAGGGCGTGTGATCTGGAAACTTCTGTTAGTTGTCCAAAGACAGCCTCATCTACCTCATCCTCCTGGTCTGGTGGTCTATAGCAGACACCTACCATGACATCACTTTTGTTGCTCTCACCTCTGAACTTAACCCAAAGACTCTCAAACAGGCTTTTCTCCAGTTTCATACTGGAGCTCTGAGCAATCATACTGCTCTCTTACATACAGTAACTCCTCACTTAACGTTGTAGTTATGTTCCTGAAAAATGCAACTGTAAGTGAAACAATGTTAAACGAATCCAATTTTCCCATGTAAATGTGGGGGGTTAGGTTCCAAGGAAATTTTTTGGGGGCAGACAAAAGGTATTATATACTGTACAGTACTGTACTGTGGTGGGGAGGTGCCCCTGGCTTACCCATGGGGCTCAGGGCTGGGGTGCAGGGTCTGGGAGGGAGTTAGGATGCGGGAGGGCACTCAGGGTGGGGGGCGGGGTCTGAGAGGGAGTTAGGGTGCAGGAGGGCGCTCAGAGTGGGGGTGCAGGAGGAGGCTCAGGGCTGGGGCAGGCAGGAGGTGCAGAGCACTTACCTGGGGCTGCTCCTGTTTGGTGCAGGGGGTGTGCGGGTGGCTCTGCGCAGCGCGGCACCGCCCCCATGGCCACGATTCTGGAGCTGCCCATCTCCCCCCCCCGCAGGCAGGGCCACCTGGAACACAGGGGCTTTAGGGGCTGCAGGACCCTGGGCTAAGGGGGCCCTGGCCTGCAGCTCTAAAGCCCCTTTTGGAATGTGGCCCTGCGAGCACGGGCCGGAGGACTCAGGAGCAGCCAGCGGCACGAGAGAAACGGTGCTTTCCCCTTCCCCTTCTCTCCCTGCAGTCCCTAAAGCCCCTAAAGCCCCTGCGTTCCGGGTGGCCCTGCCTGCCGGCCCTGCCTGCCGGGGGCGGGGAGCAGCTTCCCCACTCGCTCGCTCCCTCCCTCCCAGAAAGTCCTAAGCGCTGCCAAACAACTGTTTGGCAGTGGGGGAAGCACGGGGAGGGAGGAAGGGACGGGGAGGAGGCGGAGAAGAGGAACTTGTGCAATGCTCCCTTGTAAAGTCAGCCAAACGAGGTTATAAGGGAGCATTGCACAACTTTAAACAAGTATGTTCCCTAATGGAGCAGCAACATAACTTCGAAACAACGTTAAGCGGGAGGATGGTAAGTGAGGAGTTACTGCACAGTGCAACTCCTCCACCTTTTCTCCCTCGCCTGATGGGTGCTGACCATTTAGGCCACAAAAAGGATGACTTTCCCTGAAATCTGGGAATGTCCCAGGTTTTTACAGCTAGCCTGTTGGGTTACCCCACTGTGTTTTGTCCATGTCTTTGAAATCCTTTCAGCCCAGAAGGAACTATTGGGCAGCTGAACCTGCGACTCTGACATCAGGCGGGGTAGCTGCATTGGTGCCTTAGGGACTACCCCGTGCATATTGCTTTCCTCATTGGTGAAACTAAGGTGGCTGCCCTCAGAAAAGCCACATATTGAATAAGATCCACTTGGAGCCAGAAATTCTGGCAAGTGGCAAATCTCCAAGCAACTCAGTTACTCATCATCATCATCATGGCAAATCCCCAGGGGATGTGGCCCCCTTGCAAACTGAGCACCACCCGAATTGGTCTCTGGCAAGGTGCTTAAGGCGGTGTAGCTGTATAGTTAGTGTATGTGCATCACTGGCAATCTTATTGTGCCAACAAAGTTTTGGGCGCCCATGTGATCACCTGCTGTGTCGCATCGTTCCTCAGTAAACATGCTTTGGAATGAATTGATCTACCATTCTAATAATACCTCTGTACCAAGAAAGATCCAAAACCAAACCCATGGTGGTGGAGGCAATTGCTGCATTCAGCTTAGAATATCCTCATTTCTGATCTTGTCCTGCCACTTGATACGAAGCAGTTGACGGAACCGTCAAAATCAAAAACACCATTCTGGAGTTCTTCGGCCTTCCTCAGTGCCCATGTTTCACTTCTGTACAGCAGAGTTGGCGTAAGCGTGGTTCTATAGAATGGCACCTTTATAGCAAGCGTGACGTCAAGACATCGCCAGGGAGACTGCTGAAGAGCGTGAAACATGGCAGCAGCTGTCACATCTTTAAAGCATTCCCGACACTGTTGATAATGTTACCCAAATATTTGACAGTCGCCACCTGCTTGATGTCTGGTCCGGATAGGTTAATGCAGGGTCCCCAACACGGTGCCCGCGGGTGCCATGGCGCCCACCGGGGTGTCTAAGTGTGCCCGCCTACTGGACGGCGGACGAGCATCCACCGAAATGCCGCTGAGAAGCAGCAGCATCCAGAGGCGTCGCCGATGAAATGCCGCCGATTTTCAGCGGCATTTCGGTGGTGACGCCTCTGGATGACGCTGCTTCTCAGCGGCAACGCCTATTGACGTTGCCGCTTGTCGGCGGCATTTTGGCGGATGCTCGTCTGCCGCCACAGTCCTCCGTGGCTCGTCATCTGGCCCCCGCCAGACAAAA